GATGATGATGATGATGGTAAGGGGGGGGAGGCACAGGAGGAGGAGAAGCCGAAGCCGAAAGCCAAAGCGACTCCCAAGGCTAAGGGATCCAAGACAGCACGCAAGGAGCCAGAGCCAAAGGCATCGGGGAAGGATGATGATAAGGAGGAGGAGGCACAGGCGGATGAGGGCACTAAGAAACGCAGACGACTCGCTGCAGATGATAAGTCTTTCGCGGGAAGACCCAAGCCAAAGACGGAAGATGCAACGAACCGGTTCATGGCTATTCGGGATGTCTACAACAGCAAGATCCAGTTGCATTTCGGAGCCAGTCAGCAGGAGCTATTCTTCTAAAATCATGATTTAAGAAACCTCGGTTCTTCCAATTATGAACCTGAAACCCTGGTAAGACGGGAAAACCCTTAGCAAAAAAACTTATATAGACGCAGCCCTAATATCATTCGAAATAAAGCATCCATACCAACACGAACCAATAAGCCAAACCCAGACCCCAAACCCCAAACCCTAAACCCGAACTCTAAACCCTAACCCCAAACCTTATAACCTTAGCCGACCCTACGAACCAATAAGCCAAACCCAAACCCCAAACCCCAAACCCCAAACCCCAAACCCTAAACCCGAACTCTAAACCCTAACCCCAAACCTTATAACCCTAGCCGACCCTGCCCTAAGCCCGACCCAAAACAAAACCTATAAAAAAGCCCTGCAAGGACGCTTTCTGGTCCCTTGCCAAGCCCCGGATGAAGAACAACAGCACCATCGCCGAGTACAAGAGGATCGCCACCAAGGCTGCTCAGGAGTTCCTCTTGACAAACCCTGTGTGACGGGGTACCATAGGCATGCAAGGTCATGCACGTGTTTGCTTTGCTTGGATGCTATACTTGTGATACGCATACGAAGCCAAATCCTGCATCATCATAGATGGTCGGGGGCCGTGTGCGAGTACAGTGGCATGCAATTGCTAACTTGCGGCTTTTGATATGCACCAAATTCAGATCGAAGTCTCCTTGCGACCCGGGGTGAGGCGGTCGCCGTTGCATCCGAAGCAAGCAAAAATCTGTATCGATGCACTCGTGCATTCTTGAACTGACCCAATCATATCTGCACCTGCCGACTTCTGAAGATTGCTGCCTAGGCTCGAAGATGCGACGAGGGCAAGCACTTCTAGCTCGCCGAGCTTGCCTGCCAGTAGAAGAAGAAGGCACATGCTGCATGACTTTTCGCCACTGTCATCTGCTGCCAGACTATCTACTGGTGCGGACACGAGCATCTCATACGCAGTGCCATGTCAGTGCTGTCAGTTCTCTTGTGTGTCGTATCGTCGCAAAGATTCTGGTTGCTCTCAGCCCCATGTACGTAGGCACACATGCACGCTTACAGCTCCACAGGTGATCTTCGAAGTGTAGCAGAGCATATAAGCACATGGGGGTCGATGGGTAACTTATACTAAAGAAGGATTGCCGGTGCCTCTCTACACTACAATGGTGGGGCCATGCCTTCAGCTTCCCAAAGCTTCTTGGACACTGCATGCCTGAACAGCTTGCATGCTTGGATCTTGCACATCATACGAACCTGGCTTAGCCAAGGCCTTCATCGCTATATTTATCTTGCTCATCTATTGGACGGACCCAAATCTCCGAGATGCCCTTCTTTGCGATGCAAGAGGCCAACAAAGTCCGGACAAGGAGTCTGCGAGGATTCTAGAGCCGGTTGCATACTTTACCCCTAAATTCCCTTAAGCCCTAGCTCGTAAACTCCTAAAACCGGGGCACAGCACGGTTGTTCAAGACAGGGTTTGCAGACAATTACGAAAGGGATGCCTCGAGAAGCTTATGTGTTGAAGCAGGGATATGAGATCTTTAGGGTTTAGGGGTTTAGGGGTTTAGGGGTTTGGGTTTTGGGGTCTGGGGTTTGGGGGCTTGGGGGTTTAGGGGTTGAGGGGTTTCGGTGTTTAGGGGTTTACGGTCAAGGTGTTTAGGGGTCTAGAGTATAGAAGGATGATTTCTGTTTGGTTTCGTTGCACGACCTTTCTGGGCCCCGCTTTCTTCGGCTTGAGGGACTGCAGTCCTGTGCAGGAAAGATTTCATGTTGGCTTTTGCGATGTGCTGGCGACATCAGTTCTTCGTGGAGAATGGCTGCTGACGTCCCTAAGCAAGGTCAAAGTAGAGATCCCTGGGACCCGATACCTTAAGCCTTAAACCCCCAACCTCAACTTGCTAAGTACCCTGTAGCATCCAACCAAAATCCTTAGAAACACACCCATTAAAACTAATGTATAATATATAAAATATTCTATATGCCCGAAACCTATGAGGCCTGAACCCAATACCGTGAACCCTAAGCCTGCACCTGGATATGTGTATCATGTTGTAATATAGAAATCGATCTCAAAATCCCTAACCCAAGACGCCGAAACGTAAATACCAAGACTTAAATCTTAAAGCTCACGTAGGACACTTGTAGAATCTTCTGAGGTGGTCCCTTGGAATCCGCAGTCCATGCTCGACTCCAGTGGCACCGACGCAGGAGTTGCTGGGCTTGCTGGGGTGTTCGGTTATGGGATCGATGATGACAGCTATAGTTGAGGCTTCCGTATTTAAGTCGCTTAGTCAAGGATTCTTTATAAGATACAGGCCCCTATACTATATGCCGGGCTCTAGTCTCGGGGCTTTTGTGAAATGATATTTCGTGTTGGGGTTTGGGGTTTTCACGCAGCTCCAAGCTGCATGTCCAAGAATCATCATGCAATATTCTCACCGCCGCCACCATCGCCATCATCATATGGCTATCACTGATATCGTCTTCATCTTTCTTCCGATATCATCATCATCATCATCATCATCATCATCATCATCATCGCAGCACATGATTTACAGCAGTTTCCTGGAGTTTGGGGTTTTGGGTTTATAGGGGTTTAGGATTAGGCTTTAGGGGTTTAGGGGTTAGGGTTTTGAGGTTTAGGGGTTTCGGGATCTAGGGTTGGGGGTTAGGGTTTCGGGGCTTAGGGTTTCGGGAGTTAGGGGTCTGGGGTTCGGGTTTGGGGTTTAGGGTTTATGCTCGCAACCCTTGATGTTGAACTCTTGTGCTCGCAACCATGTGTCCAAATTTCATGGATCATTTAGCATTAACAAATCTCTTGTAGGGATCACTACTTATATGAATTGTAACCATTGAGCATTTGCTACAGATTCTTGACTCTCAAGCAGGCCCAAGAATCTATCACCCGTTCTGAGTGAAATATCCAGATACACCCCTATCGAAATCCTTAAACCCTGATCTCCCCTGGGGTCCTATGCAATCTAAACTGAATCTAAACCCCAAACCCCAGCCCTATTCCTCGCCGGGTTTCTCGCTTTGCTTTTCTAGAAGCCAAGGATCCATCCTCCCAGGATCATCGTCGACACGATCGAGGCCAGTAGCGATACCACGCCCTGTCGTGAAGGTGTTTCAGAACGAGTTAGGAACTCGTTGGGAAACGATTGACACGGTTGGGTTATCTAGGATTTGGGCTAGTGTCTTGACATTGACAGACTGAGACGCAAGTGAATCATGTTGAATCTACGGCAACCTGTGCCACCTTGGGCGGCACAGCCAAGTAGTGGTTATGTAGTTTGCTTCCCTTCAAGTACGAGAGGGATCGATACATTAGACTATAAATATTAGTACAATATTTTATATATATTAATATTATATATACTATCTGCTGCTACACTACATCACCACCCACCACCACCCCCGCCAGCACCACACGCACAACCACGACCACGCATACGACTGCTATAGTGCTTTACATCCTAAACCCGAAACAAATCTGGCCTTAGAATCCTCACCCCTGAACCCTGAACTTCAATCCTCTCACCTCCCAACCCTATATTGCCTGCAGGTGGGCGATCCAATGGCTCAGCTGGATGTGCCGCCTTTCTTCGAAAGCTTCAAGGTTAATCAGTGCACGGGGGGAGAGGTGAGCTCGGGGATCCAATCCTGGGTTTGGGGATGCTTAGGGTTTAGGGGTGCTTTGGGTTTCGGGATTTTTTCTGGCTTAGGGATGCAGGGCTCAAGGGTGCTTGTGTGGCCAGTGCAGCTGCTCAGTAATCGTTCCGGGTCTAGGTGTATATAGTACATATATATTAGTGCAATTAGATCGTAGTAGGATTCGAACCAAGGGCCCCCCACGGCAACGACTGGCATACTAAGCCGTGAACCCTAATCCCTAAACTAAACCCTAACAGACCGTGCCAGGCTTGTCAAAAAAAGCCCTAAACCCTAAACCCTATATTCCTGGACTCTTCGACTTCTCAACCCCAAAAAACCTGAGCCCAGATAATTTTTGGAGGTGTCTATGTTATAGCCTGCTTCCCAACCCGAGGCTTTAAATTAGTATACCCGGATCCAATGAAGAACGAAGGGGGCCTGAGGCCGTTTCACCACTTTCCGCTGTGCGGCCTCCCTCAGATGCCCGACTGTAGTGCTGACGGGTCTGGTCTAAGTACACGGCAAAGTAGGGGGCCTTTGCTGGTGCGGTCTAAGTACGGGTTTAGGAGCTACTTCGGGCCTCTGTTGGGCAGTTTCGCGACTTTTTTGGGCCTGATCTTCACCAAACACGGAAAATGGGCCCCGCAAACAATTGCGGGAATTGGCGTCCAGATTGCGGGAATTGGCGTCCAGATTGCGGGAATTGGCGGCCGCCCTCCCGAACGCATTTTCAGACGGATCCCGAAGGCATTTTCAGACCGATCGAGCTCTAGTTTTGGGTAGCCGTAGACCGCTCGAGCTCTGGTTTTGGGTAGCCGCGATGGACCCGGGCCCCGTGAAGCAGGAGGCTAGTCAGGACGACCTCCTGGGCCAACTAGAGGCCAGTCCTAGGCACCCACCACGAAAAAAAAACCCTAAACCCTAAACTCTAAACCCTAAATAAGAAATCTCCCAGCCTTGCATGCCACAGGATCTGAAGCAAAGGATGGCGGTGTTGCAGCAGGCGAAGGCTGGTCTCCTTTAATCCAAGGGCAATTTAATTCCTGAATTTTCTTCTAATGTTCTAGGGGCGAAGGGTTTACTCCGATCCTGGCCCTAAGCCAGACATCCCCAAAACCGAAGATCACCGAATTCACTCTAAGGGCATAAGTTCCGGGTGGGTATGTAACGTGGTTCCAACACAGAACAAACGCTTCAGGTTTCCTGTGGAAATCTTGGAGTCCTTGGGCACATGCTTTCGGATGATAGTGCTTATATAACACTAAACCCAAGACCCTTTCCCTCCCTGTTGTGGCTCTCTGTTGGTTTGCTTTCTTCGGGTCCAGGAAGACGTGTGGTGTGCTGCCGTTTGCTGCTAACGC